TTAATATTATTACTATTATTAATATAGAAATACATGTATAAAGATTATTATTATTGTTGTTGTTGTTTTTATTTTAGAATCATAACACCCTGGTTAACACTTGCTGGGCACTATGAGAAACAAACAGCACATGGAGATCACAGTCTTTGCACAGTCTGCAAAGCAAAAGATGTGAAGGAAACTGAGGGAAAAATCCCTGCAGTGAGGGGGAGGAGGAATATGGCTGGCAAAGATGTTTCCTCAGCATCATGGGTTAAGCAGTAGATTGGTGGCCAATAAGGGGGACTCAGACTTTAGAGAAATCTAGAAATCAGAGGGAGTTATTTCCCCTGCTAAAATAAAAACTTTTCTAAATCAGTCCACTGTGAGCATCACAGCCATGGTTAGAAAGGTGCATGGCAGGGGATTTGTGTCTCTGAATGTAGGATGAATAAAGGCCCTGACAAGCACCCAGGGCTTTGCTGTAGCAGAGTTCATCAGAGCTCACTCTGCCCTAGGGAATTTACAGTGGGGTGACAATCCCTGCTCCACTCTGAGAGTGGGAGAGAACATTCTCAAAATTATTTGGAGAACCTGTGACAATTGAAGCTAAAATCCCACGTTTGAGCCCCAGTCTAGGGCCTGTGCACTAAAACCATCCATCTCCTCTCCTGAAATCTTGATCCCAGTGTTCCCAGAGCCCTGGGAAGTGTGGCAGGGCTATAAATTAAACATAGGGCAGAGTTCACTGCCTGGAGAGGAGCACAGCTGTCAGTCACAGAAGCAAACCCCAGAGAATGTGTCTCCAGGCGACAAGGGGAAGAGGAATCCTTTCAGGGAATTGTGATATTAGACCTTTTCCATCTCGCTGGGTGTCAGAAGGAGATTAGTTATGCAATTAAAGAAACAAAAGCCTTCTTTCTTCCCCTGAAACACACAAAGGCTGTGGCTCTGTAACACAATGCAGGGTCAGGCACGGACACCAGAACTGGCTCATTAGTGGGGCTGTCACCAAGCTCAATTATCTGTGTCTCCCCTATATGCCATGTGCACACACCAAAGTGACACCAGGGAACAGTGACTGTTCACACACACTGCCTCCACCCCACTTTTGGCAGGGATTTCTACAAGATTTCCTGTGGCCCATCTCAGTCTGTGGCCATGCTCTGTATTTTTGTGGCTCTCTTGCCATTCTGGTGAGGCCCAGAAGGAAATCAGGATTAAACTCAAAACACTTTAACTCTTCTCCTTGCATAGATTAGTGTCATCTATAGGCATTCAAGGCTGGACTTGAAGCTTTAGATCATAAAGTTCAACCTTTAGATCATTAAGTGCAATCTTTAAATGGTTGGACTTGATGATCTAAATGTTTGGCTCAGTGATCTTGTAGGACTTTTCAATCCTCAGTGGTTCTATGATTCCAAGTTTACCTGTGATTCAGGACTACCAGGATGGGGAAAATCCACATGAGGGAATAACATCTCCTGCTCTGTCCCACAAGGAGAACTCTGGGCAATTTCCCCTAAAAACAACCCAAATTTTGCAGCTTTTCCCAACTTTTTATGGTGTTTGCTGTGTGTTTTGTCCCTACAGCTGATTGACTACTGTTCCTGTGATGAAGACAAGGTAAACTATCGTGACTTCCTTCGAGCCTTCCCTAGTGATCTCTTCCCAGAAGCCGAAGGAGAGGGTCAGCAGTTGAATTCTCAGCTGACTTGAATATATTGTACTTCAAAAAGGATGTTTTGGTTTTCACCCTTGCTTCACTCTCTCCCTCCCTCTTTTACAGACCCAGCTGATTCCACCCTCATGTTAACTTTTTTTTCCTTCCTAACCTCTCCCTGTCTTTTTAGCTACTCCTAAACTCCACCCCAAAACTGGTGGATATTGAAATGAAACTTATAGGAGAAAAAAAATAATTCTGAGAACCAAAGTCAGGTTCTTGTGTTGTTTTCTCAACCTTTTAGTGCAGTACTTTAGAGAGCTAAAGCTCTCTGGAGCCTGGAGTGAAAACCACTCCAGGTTTCTCTCAGATGGGCCTTTCACCTTCAAGTAGTGAAGACTGCCAGTTTGATACTAAAATTGCAATAAAACTGCAGTTGCTGTAAACATGTCAAAAAGTCTGTTTTAAATAGAATGGCTGGAATAGCTAAGGATTAAACTAAGGGTGAGGGGGGAACTCACAAATTGTGATTCTGGGTCTACTCAAGATAGGGTGATGGTGGTGAGTTTAGTTATCTGGAGGGAATAGGGGGCTGGACACAAATCTGCTGACAGCAGCTCTGCATTCTTTAACATGAAGTTGGGAGAATGGTTTTAGGACTGAGCTCCTATCCAAACCCACCTTATCCACCTGCCATCTCACCAGACAGGTCTCCAAGGAAAAGGGAACACGAGCAGTTGGCACGGCAATAGAGTTATGACACTCGTGCTCTGTTACTCATCTCCGCGTGAGGGGAACGAGGCAGGAGCCTTCTCACCCCAAGTGACACCTGCCAGGTGTTGCCATGGAGCACACAGAAAAGGCAGCTGTCACACACACAGAGAACAAAGCTCTTTGGAACAAAATGCTGCTTTAAGTCAGCTTTTGTGCCATGGATTCCCACTTCCCCTCAGACAGATGAGAGTCTCCACGTGACAGCTCCCTCCTGTCTCCCCTTGTTTGGAAAGGTCACTGCTCTTCCCTTCTGGCCTGTTTTGTGCTGCTGCTCACCCAGACCAAGGATTACTCCAGGAATCTCTGGTCCACCTTGGATTTCAAGAGACCAAAAACTTACAGATGAAATTACTTGAGCTGTAGAAAGTCAGAAACTATTTTCTGCACAGGCTACGAAACCGTAACCTAACCCTCAGCCAAGTGATGTCGTGTGTCTGGGGCCAGCTGCACAAAATATACAATATAGCTCACCAAAAATATGTGCCTAAACCACATCAGATAAATCACCTCCTACAAATACCCTTATTCTCCACTCCCTCTGATGAAAGCAGCCACGAATAATGAACTCTGGAGCAGCTGCCCATGCTGTGGACATGGGAAATGTGGGAAGACGAATCCCAGCTGCAAGGGCTTGGAGTGACAGGATAGGGGGGAATGGCTTTGGACTGAAAGAGATATTTAGATTGAATATTGGGGGAAAAATTGTTCCCTGTGAGGGTGGTGAGGCCCTGGCACAGGTTTCTCAGAGAAGCTGTGGCCGCTCCTGGATCCCTGGAAGTGTCCCAGGCCAGGCTGCACAGGGCTTGAAGCAACCTGGGATAGTGGAAGCTGTCCCTGCCACATGCACAGCTTAACAATAATAAAGCATCAGTAGAAACAGCACTGGAAGAATCTATGCCTTTTATTTATTTATTTCAGAAAAATACTTCTGCTGAGTTTATCACAAAAGTCATTGAACAACGAACAACAACAAACAAAATCCGTACAAAAACTGAAGTGACAGGAAGAATGAAACAAATGGGATAAAATACCAGAGACTGTTAATGCCCCCCCACCCCATCCAAAATCAGGAAATTTGCACTAAAGAGAAATTTTCCTCGAGTTCCTTTGCTGAAGTTTGATCAGTCGAGTTCAACATTTTCGAGGAAAAACCACACACCTCTGCCTGGCTTCTCCAACAGCCATTCTTCCCAGAAAAACCCCACACACAGCTCCAAGGAGGAGGAACATACCTCACTGGGTATAAAACCTACTAAACCAACCTTTCATTCCCCACGAAGTTTCCTGGAAGGCTGTAAAGCAAACCCCATCACCTCCACCCACTGCTGACACAACCTGGGGTCCCTCTACCAAAGGCAAGAGCCTGAGTCTGCTGTAAAGCCCCAGGCACTGCAGGAAAGGCAGGATGGCTCCAAGCTCCCAGAGTCACTTGGAGGCAAGGAAGAGACATCCCAGAGCGACCACACTTCCCTCCAACCAGGAAACCTACCAAAAATACCTTTTAAAACACTGAGTTGAAGGTAAGGGGACCTACAGGGGAACTGAACTTGGCTACTACTAACCCAAACATAATGAGTAAGAAGAAAGAATCCTAAATAACAACAACAACATAAAATGCAACTGTAATGCCCCATAATGTAAGAGTCACTCAAAAACTGTATGTGAAATGCTACATCTGTTTTTCCTCCACCCCCTTCTCTTCCCAAGCCCATTTTCCCACTACTTAAGACAAGAAAAGAGAACTAGTGCTGGTATTTCACAGCTCTTCTATGCTAAGACAGGAAAACACTACACTTCACCCCAAAAACCACAGGCTACTCAATTCCTGATCTCCTTAGGTTGGATAATTGACATAGACTACTAAAGCAGCCTCAAGCCCTTGGCAAGAGTGCAATGAATCATGTTCCAATGGAAGTTTTGGATAATCTCCATCACCACCTGCACTGTGGTGGACAAGAGCTCCTGTTCAGGGTTGGATCTTGGTGTTGGATTAAAGGTTGAACTTTGATGAGTTTGGAGGCATTTTCCAACCTCACCCAACAATTCCATTATGTTTTCTGCAGATGACACAGTTGGGGCATGAGAAGAGCATCCAGTAAAGGGAAGTGAGCTCGTGGCATTTCATAGGCAGAGAGGCCAAGGACAGACCGACCACTAAGGGCTTGCAATGAAAATGCTCCAAGAAAAAGCTCTTTGGGCTGAAAGGAAGGCTGGATCTGCTGAGAAATGACACGGACACAGGAAAAACAGCAGCAGTTACTGCAGGCTTGCAGCCCAGGGATTGTGCTTGCACTACAACACAGAGATAGGAGCAGCCCAAGGCAGCCCCTCTGATGGAGATGGGATTGCAAACCTCCAGGATGACAGTGGATATCGCCTCACAACAAAGGCTCAGCTCAAAAAAAACTAACCTGCCAGGTTTGGGTCTAACAGAAGGATGGGGATTTCTGAGGACTAAATACAGGGGAGGGCTAAAAAAAACCAAAAAAACAACAAACACAATCATCTATAGGTCTAAAAAACCAAAATCAGAGAAATGCTTCAAAAACCCCCCCCCCATCATCTATAGGTCTAAAAAACCAAAATCAGAGAAATGCTTCAAAAACAAATGTCCCTTTTCCTGATAGTTCTATCAAAAAGAAAACAGAAAACACATAAATGTAGCACATGTTGTACATATGTAGTAACAAAGGAGGGTGTTCAGCTACTGCTATAGTGCACAGAGAGGCTACAACATAAGGCACTTGCGATACAAAGCATCACCAGCTACTGTATAGAGATAGGATTGTGCAAGTGGAAAAGCTGCCAGAAGCCAAGCAGGCAGGAGGAGGAATCATTCAGCAGCTGTGTTTTTGGGGGGCTCTATGTGTCACCTGCTAACAGAGTCAGCAGCTCGGCTGCTGCGAGGCACTGGTGCTGCAGAAAGGCCTGGCCGAGGCTCTGGGGAGGTGCCAGCCAGCAGTCACTCCTGGAGGGCACTGGCAGTGGATGGAAGGGGATGGGAAGAGGCAGGAGAAAGGAAAAACCTCTCACACTAAGCCTTTTCCATGACCTCCCCAACATAAAGCTCTTTTCCCCCTGATCACGCTGCACCGCGGGTCCTGTCGCTGCCTCTGAGCCAAAAAGTGTCTTATCCCCCAGCACAGGCTACGAGGAGCAATGGCAAGGTACCACCAGGGACCCTGCTCCAGCCTCCTTCCCCAGAGCCTCTGAAAACAGGGAAAGCCCTCTCTTGCCAGTATCTCTCATTTGACACTCAAATGTTGTTTGGGGATTGAGGAACAAGTGGAATTTGACCAACTGTCCTCATGTCCCTGCATGTTTTCTCCCTCCAGTGCCTCCTCAACAAGGAGAGAGGGAGGAAAGGACAAAAGACACCCAGACAAACGGGGGAAAAACCCAACTCAGCTCAAAGAAGGGCAGAAAATCAACTGTCACCCATTCCTCAAAATGCAACTGGTGCAAAGAACAACAGCACCAGCCTCAAGCTGGAATTGCACTCAGAGAGAGCCAGAGTTCAGCTGCCCCCAAGGGCTGAGCCAGGGGCACACCAAGGATCAGTCCTGGACTGCACATGGACAGCAGCCCAGCTCTGTGTCCCTCTCCTCACCCAGCCAAGGGACACACCACGAGTCCCCTGTTCCTGCCATGGCGAAGCAGAACTAAAGCTACGGCTGACTTCACTGCACAAGAGGGGCACCAACAGCAAAGCCCAGCTCAGGAACTGCCCCAGAGGACAGTGTGGGGACAGAGGTGCCACCACTGCTCACCTGCCAAACCTAGCCTGGCGTGGCACCCCAAAAAGAAGCCCAGTGAGATGGCACTGATCCAAGAAATCCCAAGCAGATGCTGCTCCCCAGCAGACTCAGAGAGGGATGAAGCTGGTGGGATCTGGCTTTCCACAAAACCTCTTGCCAGCACGTGGAGGTGGCAGGAGCAAGAGGGGAAAGTGGTCTGCAGCAACAGATGGCCTCTGAGGTAGATTTGAGACAACTCCATCTGCTAACAGCTATGTGTCACAAGCCAGGCTTTTCCTAAAATGCAAGCTGCTCCTTGCAGCCCCGGCCTCCTTCGCCTTCCTTCCCTGTCATCTCATTCACAGCTCAGAAAGGGATGAAGGGGCTAGGATTTTTGGAAGAAACCCTGGATTTGATAGCACCTTGGGTGGATACAAGCACTGTATCCTTCGGAAACAAAGAGTGAAGCTGGTGGCTGCCAATGGCATGGCTGGACTGGTATGGTAGGGATGAGGAAGGCTGAGGTGACAGCACGAGGGGCACAGTCCCACTGATGCAAAAACTCTGCAGCAACCCAGGTGCAGTTTGTCACCTGGATGTGGTCATGAGCAACAAGAACACCAGGTCCACGAGGCACAGACAAGCTGGCAAAGGGCTGGGCTGACAAGAGCCAGGCCAACACTCAGAGCAGGGCAGGATTCATGTGGAACTGAGGATGCTCCTGCCCCTTAACAAAACACTGAGAGCTGCAGAGCCCTGGGGCCAGCTCTTGGGGCTAGGAGGCCCAGAACAACCACGGGGCAGCCAAGAGAAACCCAGCTGGGGCAAGCAGAGGCTAGGAGGTGGACCTTCTATATGAAGAGGGAAGTTCTTTCCTTTCTCTGCTGCCCTGCTCTTGATGTTTTTCAAAAGCAGGGCTCAGAAAACCCCAGAGGTCCACCAGGAGACAAGACAGGGTTGAGCTTCCTCCATCAGACCCTGGTCTCTCTTTGCAGCATCACCATCCTGCCGAGTGCTGGCCAGTTGTGCCCCATCTCACCTGAGAGCACCCCTGAGCCTCAGATCTCACAGCCCCAGCACATTCCCCCAGGAATCTGATCCCATAACACACATTTGGTGCCTTCAAGCTGTCGTGGCCCTGTCCCAGGGGCTCAGGGAAGCACCATGAAGAGAGGGGAGGAACATGCTGTAGGAGAAAAAAGGATTGTTTGGAACCATCTGTGATACATTTGTAACCATTTAACCAAAATAACCGAACACTAAAATAGAAAAGGAAAAAAAAAAATTGCACGCTGGTTTACGATCAGAGGAAGGCAAAACCAGGAGGGCTGGAGAAGGTTCCTATGAGGGGGATGGGAGAAGGGGAATGGGGACTTTTTGGTTTTATTGCAAACGGTTCACGAGAGCAAGAAAGGAAGGGAGGAGAGCGAGAGACACCTTGGGAAGATGATTCCGAGCCTTTCAAGACGCCGCTCGAGAGGAGCAGGAGGAGGGGCTGCTCAGTCCTGGTATCTCGCCCTCCTCCCCAGCAGACAACTCTTGGCTTCTACGGAGACTTGAGCTTCTTGGTGCGAGGTGAGGTTCCGTTCTCTGCTTTCACCACTCCGTTTTCATGGTAACCTGGGGATGGCAACAAAGGGACACAGAGCTGGTGAAGGGTCTACAGCGTAATCTGAGAGAGCTGGGGGTGTTTAACCTGGAGAAAAGGAGGCTCAGGAGGGACCTTCTCACTTGCCAGAACCCCCTGACAGGAGGGTGCAGCCAGGGGGGACTTTACTCCCAGGGAACAAGGGACAGGACAAGATGAAATAGCTTCAGGTTGCCACAAAGAAGGTTCAGGTTGGACATTAGAAGGAATTTCCTCACAGAAAGGGTGATTAAACACTGGAATGGGCTGCTCAGAGAGGTTTGGAGTCACCACTCCTGGAGGTGTCCAAGGAATGACCTGACGTGGCACTCGGCACTCTAGTCTGGTTGACACCATGCTGATTGGTCAAAGGTTGGACTCCATGATCTCAGAGGTCTTTTCCAACTTAAACCATTCTTTGATTCTATGGAAAAATAAACTTTGTCCCTTGCACAAACCAAACCCTTTATTCTCTCCGGGTTGGCCCACAGACATGAGGAAACCCCCATGACATCAGGACACTGCTGGGGACACCCTGCACAGGCAGCAGAGGGATGCTGAACCCCAGGGCTGACACCTCCACAGTGCCACTCTTCCAGCACTCACCCGAGTCCCTCTTGAGCAGCTTGGTTTGCTGCTTGGTGCCAGCGGCGGCGGCGGCTCGCTTCCGACTGCTCTGCTCGTTCCAGTACTCCCTCCAGCGCCGCAGCTGGAAGTGGATGAAGCGCCACATCACCGAGGCCTGGAAGAGGCACACCAACAGCAGCACACTCATTCTGCCAGGGGCGGAGAAGAGGCAGGCTGAGAACACAGCAGCGAGGCCACCCCCAGCCCGGCCTTCCCCCCACACCAGGGCTGGTGGCTGAGGTCCCCCCATGTGGCAGATGCCATCCCTCCAGCCACCATCTCTCCTTTCTGCCACCCCTGAGCCCAGAGCAGCCACCTTCCTTTCCCTCCACGTCATGAAGCTCTCAGGTTTTGATTCATTGATTCTTTCATCTTTAGGCAGAAATGGATGAACAGGATCATCTCAACCAGCACTGCCCAAACCACAGTGGCACAGTCAAGACATGATGTCCCTGGATGATCTAACAGGTGGAAGGGAGGTAAGAAAGGCCCTCAAATCCTCAGGTGTGCCAGCAGTCCTTGGCTTCAAAAAGCTTGAGAATGACCATGCCTAGCAAATTCTGAACTGAACCCACAGCTGCTGCAAGGGTGAGAAAGGCTCCCAGACTTGACAAACTGCAAGGCATAGAGGAGCCCATTCCACCCTCTGCTTCCCACATCAACAGGCAGCAAAACAAGCAGAAGGGAAAATGCCTTTTCCTTGACCACATCCATGTAAATGCACTTACAGGTACAAGAGATACACTTACAGGTGCAAGCATTTCTCCAAGATAGGCTTGTACTTTGTAACTTCACTTGATTAACACTTAATTTCCTGACTTTTCCCCTCCATTTTGGCTCTGTGTAGCCTTTAAACCCCTCCTTGCTTCCTTCACACGCCCTTCAGCTCACTAAGACCTTCCCTAAATGGAATCAGGATCAGATCATCACTGTCTAGATCCCATCTGGATGGAGCTTGGAGCAATCTGGTCCAGTGATGGGGTTGAAACGAGATGATCTTTAAGGTCCCTTCCAATCCACACCATTCTGGGACTCCATGATTTCCAAACTCAGAAAAACCCATGCTGGAATAACACAGTCAAGGAAGACACAGGAGACATTCCTACCTGAAGAGAATATTGTTGAAGAGGAAGCTGAAGAAGTTCCCTCTGTCAGGGTCCAGGGCCTGGCTCTCTACACGCGGCAGCCCGAAGCCGATGACCAGGATGTACAAGGTGAGGGTGAAGAGCCTGGTGACCACGAACACCACAGCCCAGATGTTAAACCTGCAGGAGGGCAAGCAGACATGTGGGCAGGAGCAGCCCCCAGTGCTCACCCAGGAGAGGAGAGCAAGATCCAGGCTCTCCTGGGCTCCGGAGGAGGAGGGGACCCACAGGCAGCTCCCCTGCTTACAGCTTCTCATTGTTCTCATCCGTGAAGTAAACCAGCCGCGCCATGTGGAAAAAGAACTCGGCCAAGTACTGCAACAGCAAGAGGATCAGCCCCAAGCGGGTTAAACTGGCAGGGAAGAGATAAAAAAAGCATCACTGGGCTGGTCAGCCTTCATCTTTCAACCTTCAATTTTCATCCTTCAAACCCAGCTGCAGCCTCAGCCCAGCTGTCCATGAGCTGCAGCACCAGCCCAAAGCCAGACCTCTGTGCAGCAGTGGGGGCAGGACTACAACAGGGGAAATCCCTGTCTACAAACCATCAACACAGTCCAAAACACTGGCAGAGCTGGGATACATCCAACATAAAACCTTATGGCTGGCAAGGCTGCTCTGCTTTTTAGCAGAGAATGGTTTAGGGGGGAAGGGATCTTAAAGATCATCTCGCTACAACCCCCTGACCTGGACATCTTCCACTGTCCCGGGTTGCTCCAATGCCCATTCAACCTGGCCTTGAACACTTCCAGAGATGGGAAACCTTCTGGATAACCTGTGCCAAGTGCCTCACCATCCTTATAGGCAATAATTTCTTCCCAATATCCAAATCTCTCCTCTTTTAGTTTAAAACCATTCCCCTTGTCCTGTATACCTGCCTAGGTAAAAAGTCACTCTCCACTGAAACAATTCCATTTATTCCTTCTAAGCCCCTCACCCCAGTGAGGATTCCCAGGTGACCCCCAGGGCAGAAGCAGCCCCATCCCTGATGTGGGAGGGATGCTGAGGCAGGTGACTCACTTGAGCAGGTAGGCGCCGGCGATGTGCAGCAGGTAGAGCGCGATGCAGCGCAGCTGCCGGGGGATCTCTTCCTGGCAGGGGCAGAAAAGCCAAATCAACCTCTCAGCCTTCTCCACCCACCTTCCCTCTCCCAAAACCTCCACCTGGCTCTCACCTTGCGGACTTTTTGGAAGTAGAGCTCAGGCAGGGCGTGCAGCCAGTACGCCAGCTGGCACAGGTAGAAAAACTTCACCTGGTACCTGAAATGCAGGGAGGAGCCACGTGAGCCAGACCAGGCCAAGGCAGGACCCCAAGAGCCCGAGTGCCAGGGCAGCATTGAGCAATCCCTCCACTGTTCTGGAGCCATGGAATTTAGGAGAAATCATTTCAGGACTGAAATTATTTGTTGAGCCGAGAGAGCCGCACACAGAGTTTATCCAGATGATTGTGCTGTGGTCTCTGTGCTCTCAGCAAACCTCACTTTTGTAAAAAAACCAAGAAGGAAGGTTCATCCCCCACTACATTTCTGCTGTGAAAAATGAACAGCAAAGAGACCTTCTTAAGGTGATGCAGGAAACAAGCAGGATGAATACCCAAGCCCACAAGGCCTTCCTCATGAAACCTCTGGAACACCCCTCCTTGGGCGCACAAATGAGATATCCCCACTCCCCATGGTCTCACTGCAGGGTGCATGCAGAGGGTGCTGTGCTGTCAGCACCCCACTCCCAGCAGGCAAAACCATGGAGAGAAAGGAAGTGGCCGGCCCCAGAACAAAATGCCCTCCCAAGTGCTTACGGCAGATAAACATGCGGGTAGTTTTCCCACAGACTCCGGGGGTTTGAAATGTATCCTTCCTGAAAAAGAGAAGAGAAGCAAGGCTTCAGCAAAACAAAACAGGTTATGAGAGGGTGGGCTGATAGTACAGTGAAACAAGGAACTGGGGATGACACCCAGTTCAGCAGGAAAAACCACGTTCCCTGTGAGGGACAAGGTTGAGGCTGAGCTCTGCATCAGTGGGTCTCTAGCACACCTCTAAAATTTCACCAGGCCCCTTGTTTGGGGGCTGAAGGCTGCTTGCTCAGTTGCACAGAGGGTCCCAAGTTCAGGAGAGGATATTTTGGGGTTTGGAATGCTCTGGAGGTGTAAGGGTGAGATTCCTGTAGCATGGCTCAGGCAGCCGTGTGCATGGTCCAGAGGCTTCTTGCCCACTGGCATTTCCATCCCCAGCAGCACTTAAGCAATAAGAAGTGCTTATGAAGAGACAGAGGAACAGAAAACACCAACAGGAATAACTGGATATGAATTGGATAGTTTCATTTTCCACCTCTTGCCTTACAGGATGGGACTCCCTTCTCACTCCTGCCACACAGATGCTGCCCTGGGCTTTGCAAGAAGATGCTGGCATGGGAAATTTGTCCTGCCCAGTCACCATCATCGATTCCCTGTGCGTCCCAAGACCCATTTGTTCAGCTGGGGAAGGCTAGGGAAGCACAAGAGTGACCTGCTGTGCTTGTGTTGGGTGTTTGGGGGGCACATCACAGCAATTTGGGTTGTACAGGAGGCACCAGCCCCTCAGCTGCTGAGGGATGGGTTTGGCACTGGGCAAGGGGAGCCCAGAACCAGCAGCATCAACTGTTTTGCCAAAGCTTTCTTCCTCAGAGCTCTATGGGGCAGAGGCAGTGCTAGCAGATCTCTAGGAATGCTGGCCTTGAAGGGAAAAGTAGTTCTCCAAGAAGGGCTGGCAAGACCCTCTGAGACCCAATGTCTCCCCAAGGATCCATCCCCAGAGACACTGCAGACCACAGCTGGACCCCAGTGGCTGCAGATAACAAAGTGTCATCACTTCACACTGCCAAAACAGTCAGATTTCTCCCATCAAAAAATTCTTCCCTCCCCCTTCCTTCCCAAAATGACAGTTTTCCCTCTGATTTCTTTGGGTTGACACATCCCCAAGGAACAGCAAGATTTCCCTGTTTTCAAAGATTCCCTCACCATCAGCTTGCCAAGGAAGGAACAATAAAGAGGCATCCCAAAATTCTGCCCATTAGCCCCATGACCCCACAAAAGGCAACCAGAAACTTCAAGGCACTGAATGTACACAAGGAGGAAAATAAGCTGAGAAAGGCATCAGGTCCTGGAGCAGAGGATGGAGATGATGGGGCCAGGCAGGATTTCTGGGGCCCAGCTCCAAAAATATTTCACAGCCCATTTACCTGTGCTTTGTACAATACAGGAGAAGGACCTCCTAAAAATGCCCTCAGGCAGTGGCTGCAAAGATCCACCACAGCTGAAAACCAAACTGACTGAAATGTGCCTGTTTTGGTCCAGAAGCTGGCTGGGGACACTGCTGCCAGTGGGATTTTGTGCTCCAGAACCCACAGCTCCCCCTGGAAACCCAAATGCCAGCCAGCACCGTGCCTTACCGTCACCACGACATACAAGCACCAGATGACAGAGGTGAGGTGGAAGGCAACCAGCTGCCCTGACTCATTGAACTTGCTGTGTTTGACCTTGGACAGATGCAGACGCCTGTTGATTTTCTGGGAAGGAGCAGAGGGAGAGACAAACAACAAAAAAACATCAGCCACTGTCAACTCTCCCCTCCTCGTCATCCCAAGCAGCCTCCAGAGATGAAGGCTCACTCATCACCACCTCAGCCCCCAGACCACCCCCAGAACAGCATTTAAGTGCAGAGCCCCCCATGGGATTCGAGGTATTTTGAGGACACAAGACAGGGAATGGCGCTCACGTCCAGGGCGTATTCCTGCACCACCGCGTGCAGGATGATGGCGATGAAGATGTAGAAGAGGATGGTGACCAGATCCTTCAGCCCATAGTGATACTGGACCAGCTCCCCATCTGCAAAGACACCAAAGTGTGGGTCAGACCTCCGTGGCCCAAAGATTTCCAGGTGAGGGCTTAGTGGCGAGTAGCTTGGGTGGGGACACCAGAGAGAGGTCATGACTATGCCAGTGGCAGGGAAAAAGGGCTCTCTTCAGGGCAGAGCTGGGTGGTTTCCCCTCTTACAGATACACACCTCAAGGAAGAGGACACTAAAAGCTTCCCCTTGCCACTGGGGACAGCTCAGCTGTGGAGATAGGAATTTATCACCTGGAGGGATGATGACATGGGAGGCTGAAGCAAGTGACGGGATCAGGGATGCCCCACTAGGAACATCAGGGCTTGGGATAGGACTTCCACCCCCTCAGTTATTATTTAACACTTCCTTATGATCTCCCACTCCTCCCTGAAAACTGCTGGAGTGGGATTCAGCTGCCTAAATGCCTTCTGCTATTCAGAGATCTGAGGAAGCAGCACAGGGCTGGTGAATTAGAAATAGGACCCACAGAAGGCTGTGCTCTTCTGGAGCAACAGGAGACCGAGCAGCACCCAAAATACTCCAGACATCTGCATTTAGGTGACTATTTTCAGCCCTGAAGCTTATGGGAAGAAGCAGAGTTGGGAAGGCTGAAAGAAGTATCATCACATGAAGCTCAGCCCACTCCTGGCTGCTGTTCTCCCTCACTCTGATCCAGTCTGTCCTCTCCTGATACCAGTGCTGGGAAGAGACTGCTCTGTCACCAGCCCTGACTACCCTAAAGAAAGCTTCATCTCTCCCTCACCCTGATCCAATCTGTCCTCTCCTGATACCAGGGAAGAGACTGCTCTGTCACCAGCCCTGCCTACCCTAAAGAAAGCTTATTTCCAGATTTCTAAGATTTGAACAGGATTTATGAACACAACTGGCACAAGGATAAGAAAACACCCTGTCCTTAGGAGCCCCTGGTGCTGTGCAGACCCAGAGGTTAAAATGGTGCCTGTATCCCAGAGCAAGGTAAAAGACAGAATTGCAAGGCCAAAGAAAATAATATCATGTACATGTGCTCTCCCTCCTCTCACCAGGGCACCTCAGAAACTCTAGCAGGAGCTGTGGGAGATGTGGGAAAGCCTTGGAAAAATTTAGATTCCTCCCAAGAAGTTGCTGCACTAAGATCTCTCTCCCCACTAGCTCATGCCCTATACTGATACCCCAATACCTGGTCCTAGGGAGATGTTTCTGTGCCCCCTGGGACTTCTCATATCAGGAAAGAACAAAACCCTTAAAAACCCAGTAGCAGAAGTTGTCTGGACTGTGCCACAGGGGAGAAGGGACCACAATTTCATCTGGATGATTCCTTCAGCCATAACCAAAACCTTTAAGGGCAGAGCTTTTATCTTCCGCATGTCTGCCTCACTGTAGCTCCCCTAATCCCAGCCCTGCTCTTTCTTTGGATGATTACTCAAACACTCCCAATTAATTTCAGTTTTCTGCCACCAGGCCAGGCTTTGTGCCCCGGGCATTTGGCTCATCCCAAGCCCAGGCCTTTACCCAAAGCACCTCCTGCTGTCTCCAGGCCAGTGCCCAGATCCCTGCCAGATCCAGAGGGGCTCTGAGCCAGAAAGGCAGCAACCAGCAGCCAAAATAGGAATAACAGGGGCTGAGCCTCCTGGCTGGGAGCTGCGACACCTCCTCTGGTCTCTTTGGTTCTGAGCTGCACCAGCTCAGAGCCTCCTGGAATTTACTCCCTGTGAATCAGAACCTGCCTGGAGCAGGGATGTTGTGCACCATGTGGCCCTCCACACCCTCCCCTCCAGGTGCCATCCCCAAAAATCAGCAGGACAGGGATGACATGCACAGCCCCTGCGGCTTGGCAAAGAGGTAAATCCCTCCTGCTCCTCAGGGGGACAAGAAGCTGCCCCAGACAGGCAATCACCAGCTGGATCCTGCCTGACCAGGCTTGGAGCAGCACCCTCATCCTGCAGGGAGCACGGAGTGGCCTGGCCATGGCAGAAAGAGGGAGGAAGCCTCCAAACTCCCCGGAAAACACTTCTTCCCAACCCTGGCAGTATGAGGGCTGGCAGACATGACCAGAGTGCTCTGAGCAACTCAAACTTTGCCTCTTCCCAAAATACCTTAATTTTAACCTCTCTGCCAGACTGCATTTACTGCCAGACAAGACCCTGAGCAGCTGATCAGTAGAGGGTGAGCCCAAGGCAGCTGGAAGTGAGGATCTGGGGCAAACCAGACTCAACGTTCCCTTGGGATTTGTGGAGCAGAGGCATCTCTCACCTGCTGTAGGCACACTAACATTATATTGAGGTAAGATGAACAGGAAGGCAGTCTTGGCTGTGACCTGTCAAAGACACAGAGGGGAGAAGAAGCAAATCAGTTGTTAAATCCATTCCTCTGGACCAGTTTTTTTCCCATCACGATGGGAAAGGCAAATCACCCAGGGAGATGTGCCAGCACCAGCTTCACTTGCAGAAACACTGAACCTCGCACTGGTCACCCACAAGATCCCAGATGCATGGACAAAAAGGGGAAAAAAAGCCTGGGATGAGGTATCAGGACATCCAAAACCCAGGGCTGTGCTGCTCACTTTTCATTTACTGAATGATAAAATCGAATCATGGAATATCCTGAGTTGGAAGGGACCAAAAAGATCACTGAAATCCCACTCCTGTCCCTGCACAGGACATCCCAAGAATCCTGTCCTGTGCCTGATCATTGTCAAAACTATTCCTGAACTCTGTCAGGCTTGGGGCTGTGACCATTCTCTGGGGAGCCTGTTCAGTACCCAGCCACCCTCTGGGGAAAGAACCTTTTCCTAATATTCAACCTAAACCACACAGCCCCAGCCATTCCCTCCGATCCTGTCACTGATCAGCAGAGAGATGGCCATTGACTAAATTGCTTTTAATTCAAAGGAATGGTCCTCCCCAGCAGCAAAGCAGGAGGCTTTGTGGGGATGGGGCAGAGCATCCACCCCACAGGACACCCCAAAACTGCACCTCTGAGACCAAAACACCCTCAAGCTGCAGCCACAGCAAAATCCAGTGCACAGACGTCCAACACCAAACATGCCTTCATCCCAACCAACCCCACACTGGCAGCAGGTCACAGATTTTCCCTTTCCAGTGGCTCCCAGCCAACCCTCCAACATTCACAAGCACCCACCCTCAAACACAACCATTTCCAAAAAAACCTGTACCCGTCAAACACCGACGGAGATGAGCTGCATTTCACACAGACATGGCTGCCACTGCTTCAGAGCTGCAGGATATTAAAATCCCAGCTGGAAATTGCTCCACAGCTTGTGGGGGAAGCTAAGGGGACTTTGCCAAGTGTTCCCATCCTGCCACCACCAGCATTGAGCAACTGGTGCAGGCAGCCCCAGCTCGGAGACAGCAAACTCCACGGCATGTTTTTGTGATGTTAGGGGATTTTATTGTTTTTTCCACTGAAAAAAAAAATCCCACATGTTGTGCTCTGTTTGTGGAGGAGTAGATGCAGGAGATGGAGACCATAGGCAGAGTTTGGGGTGGGAATGGAAAAAGTGCATCGCCTGGCCTCAAGCTGGCTAAGGGAGACACTTCTGGCTCCCACAGACCTTGCTGGCTGGGAAAGCCAAGTTGCTTCATCCCAGAGTTGTGCAGCACATCCAGGACCTGGAGTTTACATCCAAACCTTGCCACAGGCTGGCACAGGGCATGAAACAAAGGCATGGAGCCAGTGGTGGCTGTGGTGCTGCAGGGATGGGCGGCTGTGTCATGGACATGCTAATGGCAGCAGGCACTGATGGATTTACAGCTCCCCGAGTACCTGGCTGATATCCATTGCTATAAACAGCTGGGAATAAGACATCATCTCCAGGTGAAGCCTCCTAACCTGCTGGAGAGGACACAGGCCAGAGCTGTGAGTCCAGGAAAATGGCCCCAGAGTATCTCCAGGATGGGAAGCAATGCCTGGACAGAGCTCAGCCTCAGCACAGTTTCCAAGGATTCTCCTGATCTTCTTTCCCAGAGCACCTGGGAGGAAGGTTCCTCCATTAAGCAATGCTTTGTGCCATCTCCACACCTGCCTTTGCTTCCTGTGGGCTGGAGAACCACCAGCAGCTTTGGAGCCACCCCAGCACCCCCCACCTTTCCTTACAGAGGGGTAGCAGGTTGCTTCAAGTCTCAGTGAAATATTTTAACAACCAAAGACAAATGTGACCTCCTAGACGCAGGTAGCTGCAAGGCAAAATCCAGGTTTCCTTGGCTTGGGAAACAGGGATGAGCACCAGGGATGGCAAAACTCCTCAGAGCCTGCCTTGAGCATTTCACAGGCAGCCAGGGAAAGCAGAAGTTTGGAGTGGGAAGAGCAATGTGAGGATTATTCAGAGGCACAAGACTTGCTGTCTGTTTGCTTTGAAACAAGATGCTGATATGGGAGAGGAAGTGCTAGGCATGCTTCTGCCCTGCAGGGCAGCGAGCAGAGCCAGAGCTGCCACTAAACTGCTACTGGCAGGGGCACAATTCATGGAATCATAGAATAATTTAGGTTGAAAAAGTCCTCTAAGATCATGGAATCCAACTGTTCCCCCAGCACTGCCAAGCCCACCACAAAGCCATGGCCACAGGTGCCACATCTGCACAATTTTTTAACAATTCCATGGATGGTGACTCCATGACTTCCAGCCTGTTCCAATCCCTGACTGCCTTTTAGCAAAGAAATTTTCCTCATATTCAACCTAATCCTTTCTGGCACAACTTTTTAGAGGGTGGGAGAGGGATTTCTCTCCACGGGACACACAGAGCAGCAACCAGGTAGCAAATGCTATATATTTATTTCTCATCCACTCCCTGACCTGCATTAAGGGCACCTCTGTGCAGAGGGAGATGTTCCTCATCCCAGCCTCATCCTGCCTTACATGAGGGATGTGGCACTTGGGGACATGGGTTAGTGGTGGCCTTGGCAGTGCTGGGGGAATGGTTGGACTCAATAACCTTAGAGGGCTTTCCCTACATTAATGATTTTATGGTTCTGTGTGCCTGAACCAGGTAAATTTGGGAAGCAGCTGTCCTGGGAGCTCTCTATAGCCATGAAGAAGGAACAACATCCTCAGCAGTGAGTGGCTTTCTGCTGGTAAAAGCCACTTACTCAAGGACCAAACTGCAGATGGATGGTGAAGAGAGAAAACTAACTCAGTGTGTCCACCATGACCATCCTTTCCTGAGATGCTTGGATCAGTCAGGACAGGGATGAGGCTGTTCCTCATGGCCAAAAATCAAATCAGCACATCCACCTTCCTACCCTGGGTGGCAGAGCAATAGGTAAAGACAAGCAATCCTAGAAATCCACTCAGCACATCCACCTTGCTACCCTGGGTGGCAGAGCAATAGGTAAAGACAAGCAATCCTAGCACTACCACACATTTACTGCCACATTTACCAGGCATTTGCTCGCTGATAATGTGGTGATTGGAAAAATTCACAACCCCCTAGCCTGGAGATTGCTGCCTAATATGGAACAGCAAAGCTCTTTCCATCCTTTTTTTAGATCCCAGAATGGTTGGGGTTGTTAGGGACCTTAAAGATCATGTTCTAACCCCCTGCCATAGGACGGGACACCTTTCATAGACCAGGGTGCTCAGAGCCCCACCCAGCAATTTACAAGATGTTGGTGTTACCCCTGCCATGAAATGCTCCACATCAAAATCCCAACTCCACTTGTTCAGACGTGCAAGTGGCTTTTAAAAAGGTGTCTGAGCACACACAACCAGGCAGTTTAGCACCTCTTCCAGAAATTACCCACTGCAACTCCCAAACTCTAATATTTTCAGGAATAAGGGATGATTTTTGAGCATCCTTCCCCAGCACATTCTACAAAATCCTGGAACAGCTTGCGCAGATTGGTTGTGGACTCCCCATCCCTGGAAGTGTTCAAGGCCAGGTTGGACAGGCTCTGAGCAATCTGGTCTAGTGGAAGTTGTCCTGCCCATGGCAGAGGGTTGGAATGAGTTTTAAGGTCCCTTCCAACTCGACTAATTCCAGGATTCTATGAAACACATTTCCCTTCTCCAAAGCCTCATCCCAGTGGGATTTATCTTCACCACAGCCAGGAATCCCCAGGCATACCACCATCCCCATGGTCCTGCTTGAGTTAAAGCCACTCTGGAGGAAAGGAGCAGCTCCAAACCTCTGGCAGGGGAGGCTGGGGGAGTTTTCTGCAGTCTGAGCCGGGAAAATATTTCCATGGCTTGAAAAACAACTCAAACTAATTACAGACAAAATGCTGTCCAAGGGCTTTTCTCACAACTTTGGGTTTCTTTTTACCCTCGCTAGCCAGAGTTTATTGAAACACAAACTTGCTGATGCACAGTATGGATTGACACAGGCCCTATATGTAAACTAAAGCCCAAACTTTGGACCAAAGCCTTTCAAAGTAAACATCTGTCTTTAACAAAAAGCCCTTCCCAAGGGCGGTGCAGCCCCTCTGCCCCCACAGACAAACTCATCCCCCAGCATGACACTATTTCCACTGCCTCACCCTCCCTCCTCTTTATTCCCTTTTTAAAAGTAAACCTAAATACTGCACTTTTTAACCTTTTTTCCACTCTTCCCCAGCACTCAACCCCGACATCCCTCACATGCCTCGGTTCCCACATCTGGCAAAGACCAGGGGAGGCAGGAATGCATTTTGTTTTCCCTCATTAACAATGGAAAGGCCTTAATTTTTAGAGTACTACGGAGGGGACCAGGAAGGGGAAAGTATATTTAGCAGGAAGCCTGGAAATAGCAGCTCATTCGTCAGCCGCCTTCTCCTGAGTGTCACAACTCTGAGTTTGAGAGCCTGTGACTCACATCCCACGATCTGCACAGGGGGAAAGCCCTGCAACAGCATGGAACCACTGCTAAAACAATGGTTTACAGCTTTATTTCATCACCCCAGGCATAAGGCTGAGCCTCAGTTTCCCTACATTAGAGATTACAACAGCAGCCCTCATTTAATATAGAAACTTCTCCAAAACCAGCAAAGTTTTCCCCAAACCTGACCAGACACCGCTCACAGCAGCCACCCCTGGTGGGACACAGCTTAAACCCAGCCTGGCCTTTGCTTCATTTTTCTGCAAAGCAGTGTGGAAAAAGATATGCAAAGTAATTTCTGCATGAGGATGGGAAGCACCTGTTTCACGTTTCTATACACACGCGCTAAAAACAGTTTTTCACCAAAAATAAAAAAGGGAGATTTTTCTTTCTGGGCTCCAACAGCCACACACACGTGGCAAAATCCCTCTCTGGCATCAGGCAGCTGCACAACCAAGCGTGTTTTCACACCCTGAAGGCTTAGGGCTGGCTAATAAAATAAAAACCCTTTGTAGTGCCCAGCTCAGGACAGGTCTTTATGGGGAAACTCCCTCCAAGCCTGAGGCTTCCCTCCCTGAGCAACACCATGATCCTCAGAAACACACACAACACTGGAATAATTAAATCACCTGGAACACCAATGAGCAGCCCCAAGCCTCCAAATCCCATCATGACCGGTACCTGCTCCCTGCCACAGAGGAATTACCAGCTTGGTGAATCTATGTGGATGGGGAAAGGTTGTGCAGCCAAAAAGATGCTCAAGGTGTAGCTTATGCTGTGCTTGAGCAGTGGGAGACCCGTGGCAGTCCCCCAGCATCATCCCGAGCAGGGTACTAGAGCAAGGAAGCTGCCAGCTCCTGAGGGATGCCTGGGAAAAGGTTAAAAATCTTATTTGTGTCTTCCCAAAAAGACCTTCCCTGCAGGAAACAGCCTATTGTGAGCAGGATTCGGCCTTTTCCGCTGGGCCTGAGCTTGGCTGTGGCCACTGGCATTGGGGAAGGTGGAAGCCTGGCTGCAGGGTGGGAAGCAGGGATGAGAGGAGAAGGAGGGGAAGGGACAGTGACAGGTTCTCCTCACCATGGCAAGGGATCAGAGCTGCCACCAAAACTCACCACAGAGGTGGCACAAACAGGGACAGATGATTCGGAGACTGGGCAAGGGCAGAGGCTGATTTCCCCTCCAGGGGAAGAGAAAGCAGAAGGAATAAATGTAATAATAAAATAAAAGTAAACTGAAATACCCACAAGGACCAAGAGCTGTCCCAAACCCCATGCCAAGGGATGATGCTGCCAGCCACAGGGAGCACTGGAAGCTACTCTGGCATGACAAGCATTGTCTCCCTGAGGTCTGCTGGAGAGTAGCAAACTGCTGCCTTCAGCATCCGAGGGAGATTTAATTAAAATACATTAAAAAAACCCAGATACACCACAAACCCCTCCCTGCTGCCACCTCCACGGGGGTAGGCTCATCATTTTTCAGAACTGCCGTCACAGCACCATATCAACCAAAAGCACCACAGCAGCAAGCCCAGGTACCACTTCACCAGGATGGGGCTCCCAATATGCAACAAACCCATCTGCAGGGAAAAACCCTGAGAGAGAGAGACGCAACTTCAGTGGCATTTTCTTTTTAAAGTACGAGTATGAAACTTGCAGCCCAACTTTGCAGCATTTGCATGTGGCTTTGGAACACAGCTGGCCCTCCTGAGTCAGTTTTGAAACCCTTAAATAAACACACATACATGCACAAGGACGTTGAAAAGGGTTCGAGTGCTGTAAGAGACTCGTTCATTCAATGAGTTCGCAGTAAAAAAAGAGGGGGATAGAAAAGCAAGGGGTGCCAGCGGGGAGGAATTAAGGAAATGGATTTCCTCCTCCTGCGATTTGCTACAGAAGGAGCCTTTCCTCCCTCGCCAGGCCCCCCGGCCACCCCTTTCCCATCCGGATTTGCTTTGAAACGTGGCAGTGCCGAAGGGGAGGGTTCAGCGGGGGAGTGCGGGGAGGTCCCGGCCGGCGGTGCCGCTGACCACGGCCCGGTGCTCGGCGCGGGATGCCCGGAGCCCAGCGAAGCCTCAGGACACGGGGAAAGCCGGCGGACAGGGAACGAGCCGGAGCAGCGGGAGAGACAGAGTGGCGTTCCCGGCATGGCGGTGGTGGGACAGCGGCCTTGCGGGGGTCTGCGGCCACCCCGGCAGGGGAAGGAATGCCGTGGATGCCTTCCCGTGGCCCGCAGCTCAGCGGGATGGCAGGGATGAGGAAAGGCCGGGGAGCCGCCGGCTTCTGCCCCAGGCCCAGCAGCCCCCGGTGCTCGTCCCACGGCGCGGGGTCAGCGCGCTGCGGAGAAAACACCTGGGAAAGGGCTACTGTTAAAGAAAAAAAGGCGGAAAAAAAAAAAAGGAAAAAAAAATATCTTCCATTTCCAAGAGATGTGAATATCAGACAAGGGTTGGCTTCTCGCTTGATGCGCCCCTCAGTGCTCGGGACATCCCGGCAGCTGCGGTGGGTTTGGGGCAGGGGTTTTGACACCCCCTGTGCTCCCCCTCCTCAGCCAGGGACCCCCGGCAGACTGGAGCGGGGGCAGAAGGATGTGCCACCCCTAAAGCCAGCAGCAGGCTGGGTCCCCGTGGGAATGTGGGGAACCTCTCCGCTGCTGGGTGAGCGATGGGGAATGAATGGGGAGGCACTCTGTCCCCAGACCGAGGGGTCCCGCACCCCACAGCCCCCTCCCCGTACGGGATGGGGGCACCTGGGCCGGGTGAGGACCCTCCCGAGCTGGGACAGCCGCAGGAGGGGACACCCCATGCAGAGCAAGGCGGGCCACCTCGTCCACGGGGTGGGGACACACGGACAGCCGGTCCCGGCGGGGGGCGACGGCGGGGGCGTCTCACCTCGAACATGAGGGCGATGAGGACGCTGAGCACCAGGCAGAAGCCGATGTCGGCGTGGTTGTGGATGAGGAACTCCTGGCTGAAGAGCGGGTGGCTCTTGGCCCGCCGGCGGAAGGCCATGGCCGGGGCCGAGCCGAGCCCAAACTTCCCCGGGCCCCGCGGAACTTCGCGGAGCGCCGCGATGGCCCCGCGCAGGCGCCGCCGCCTGAGCCCTCCCCGCGCCCGCCCGGCTCCGCTCGGCCCCGGAACCGGCACCGCCTCGGCCCGCACCGGCACCGGACCCGGCACCGCCCGGTCCACAGCGGGAACAGCACCGGCACTGGCACTGCTCCGACCCGCACCGGGACTGGGGCCGGCATCGGGAACCGGCACCGCCCCGACCCGCATCGGGACCGGCACGGACACTGTCCCCACCGGGACCCGGCCATGGACCCGCACCCAAAGCGAGACCCAGCATCCGAACCCGCCCCCGAGCCCGACCGGACCTGGGCACGGACACGGCCCTGGACCCGGCCCCAGTACTGCACCGGACCTCGGCGCAGCCCTGGACAGGGACCCGGCACCGGCCCCGCCCCGGGACCTGGACCCAGCACGCGATGGAAAGCTCGGATATGGACCCAGACCGAGAGCCGAGACCTGGCACGGACACAGACCTGGATCAAGCCCCGGACCTGGATTCAGCCCTGCTCCAGCTCAGCACAGCCCTGGACCTGGCACCGAACCGGGACCCAGGACCCAGCCCGGCACCAGGCAGAGAACCCAGCTCTGGTCATGGCTCTTGCTTGCCCCAAGCACACCCTAGCACTCCACAGCGGGTGGAGGCACACGCTGGTTTTGGCACTCACCTCACATCTGTGCCCTGGTGCTGTGCACATCTGGACAGCCACCCGTGCTTAAACCCACCTATTGTGTGTGTGGGGATCCCCACCTGCATCTGCACCCACTGACTGTGTGCAGGCAACCTCCCACCTCTGCACCCACATCTGCACCCACCCACCACGCACATCTGGGTTCCCATGCACCCAGCACCCATGCCCCTGTGCACACCCTGACACCTTGCCCTGGATCCCAAAATCCCTGTGCTGAGCCCCAGATCTCCCTCATTAATCAGGGAAAGGCCTCTATCCCTCCCCTTTCCCTCCCCTTTCCCAAAACCACACCCCAGCTCGATTTGGGGGTGTAGTAGGGGACAGAGACAATCTGAGCAGGTCTCCAGGGCAAAACAGTGGAACATTTGCTGTTATTTATTGAAGTCAATCCCTAAAATCCCCGCAAAGCTCCTCAGGGAGCTCCAAGGACATGAGAGGAGCAGACCTGGCCTTTTGGTGGCTTTGCTTAGGAAAATCAAGGTATAAACAGTGTTTTGGTTTGAAAGATCTCCCTTCAAGCAAAACATGGATCCTTTTGCTTCCAGGGTCATGTGCAGCTCCTCCAGCATCCCTGGATCCCCATGGATCCCTCACAGATCTGTCTTGTGTCCAGTGAGGATGGATTCACGGGAGGGAGAAAACACTGCTCCAGCACATCTGAGAGAAGTGAGCCGTCTCAAACCTGGTGCTGAGAGCACAAAGCATTTTCCTCCAGCCAAATCCAGCCAGGGAAGCAGAGTCCCTGGGTTCTCATTAAGCACTCAGTCCTATTAGGCAAGTCCTGATTAGCTGGGCTTACCCTCTGCTCCCCCCCTCTGTGGTATTGTTTAGCCTTGGAGCCATGGGCACAGAGCTGCAGCCTGGGCCCTGCCTTTTACAGGAACACTGAAGGCACCAGAAAGGGATTTGCAGCAAACCAAATTTAATTAAAGGGGGAAAAAATAAAGTTTCAGCTTGGAAAAAAAACCAGACAAATAACAACAGCCCCAGGGCAAATAATTCTATTTTCTGTAGGGTCCAAGTACTGTGTTTCAATGTTGTTGGAAGTGAAAAGATGGTTTTTCCGGGGAAATCTTTCTTGATGAGGGGAGTGAGGAGTGGGGTGGTGTTACATCATTTTGGAGCTGGAGGGAATGTTTTTCACAAAACCAGGCACCCATGGGCAATGCTCAGAAATTGGGCTGCTGGACGGTGAGATCCCAGCAGGGCTGGGGCAAGGCTGCTGCCCCACACTCAAACCCTCTTGGTACAGCTCCATCCTGCTTTATTTTATTTCACCTTGAAAGAGGGATCAGAGTGACAAGCCAAGGGGACAGTGCCAGCGGTCAGGACAGCCACGTTCCCAAGCCCAGGCACTCGCCTGGGTATTGTTTAATTTCTTAGGGACGTAGCCTCTGTTCCTGCCTGTTTGCTCCTTTTTCCAGATCACCAGAGTGGCACAGCCACTTCTCCTGGGGAGCCTTTGGGTCACTCCCTGCATTGTCAAAATTCATGCTTGGTTCCTGCTCCCATGTTGCCCTTGAGAGCTCCTCTCACCTGTGGCATTGAGCTCTCCTGGGCTGGGGCATGACCCTCCACCTCTCTAAATTGATGGAGAGGGTTTCCTTAAGAAACAAAATGGAAAAGGTTCACAGGAGGCAAATGAGCAGAAATTTTCTATTCCAGAGCAGGCAAAAGCACTGGACAATCTGTCCAAGTGTAGTGGGATGGAGATATCCCCTTGCTCCAGCTCTTCTGTGGGTGGCTGAAGCCCAAACGTTGGTGATGAACACCCCCAAAAGCTGGGCAGATCCTAGTCTAGCTCACGATCATTCCTCACCCCAAAACAGCTTCATGGGAGATGCTGCAGAAGGAGCAGAGGATCTGCCCGGGTCTCCTCAAGCATTTGGGACATTTGGAAGATAGCATCATCAAGTTGCCTGGAGCAGTTGGTCCATTGCTGCTCTGCCAGCTGCAGTTTTCCATCCAGGGTTTGGACCGGCCCAGGCCTCCATGTTGCTCCACACAGAGCAGTGACATGGGATTTGTGGGATTTGTGCACCCCAAGGGTTGATCTGAGGACAGAGCAGAGTGTGGAGTGACCAGGTCACCCACCTGGGCACAGCTCTAAGGATACACCACCAAAATCAGGACTCAGCATCATCTGGAGCCACTTCTACCAAACCCCCAGGGTCCCATTGTGCATCCAGTGTGATCTGGGGCATCTCCCCTCACACACACACCTTTGGACATGAAGGCACCATGGGATATTTACAGGTGACTCTTCTCCTGAAGAGGGCAAGACCCTGACAGTGATTTTCAAACATTCCCCATGGCCCAGTGATGCCTGGGAAGTAAAAAGAGATGCCCACAGCCGTGGTCTCATTCCTCCAGGCACCTGCTGTGCACTCCTCCTCCAATATCCCAGAGCTCCCCATTTCATTCCCACTGGCTCCCAGTGCAATGCCACAGCAGCATCAGTCCTGCACCTCCCTCTCCTCATCAGTCATTATCCCTGGAGGAACTCAAAGGTCCCCCAAAGGTGTGGATGTGGCACGTGGGGACGTGGGTTAGTGGTGGCCTTGGCAGCGCTGGGGAATGGTTGGACTGGATGAGCTCAGAGCTTTTCCAACCTTAATGATTCCATAACACAGGCACTGGAGGTGTATCTGGACCTTGAGCAGCATCTCCCTCTGGTGGCAAAGGGAACAAGAAGTTTTGGGGAGAAACTCCTCCCCAGTATGATTTTCCTGGTCTGGCAGCATTGGGAAAAATCTGGAGGTGCACCAGGTCACTGGGCCACAGGAGATGGGAAGGGTGGGGAAGGGTGTCTGAAGCTGTGATTTGCTGCTGGAGTCCTCCTACTTCAAACAGGGCTTTAGAATTGACTACAGACTAGGCTTAGATGGGATATAGGGAAGAGATCCTTCCCTGTGAGGGTGGGGAGGCCCTGGCACAGGCTGCCCAGAGAAGCTGTGGTTGTCCCATCACTGGAAGTGTCCCAGGCCAGGTTGGACAGGGATTTGAGCAACCTGGAATAGTGGAAAGTGTCCAAGCCCATGGCAGGGGATTAGAATGAAATGATCTTTAAGGTCCCTTCCAACCCAACCCATTCTGGGATTCTCTGATTAAATACAGGTTATTTAATCAGAGACCTGTGGCTCAGTGCTGGGACTGTGCCAGCATGCAGGACTTGGCCTCTGGGTGCAACAGGGCTCTCACATAGGCTGGAAGCCTTTAAAGACAGACAATCCATATTATCCCACCTGATTTCACATTGCTCCAAAGAGAAGGTGGAGCATGGCTCATCAGTGACCAACTCTCTTCACCAGGGAGCAAAGCAGTGGGAACACAACCCTCACACAAACACCCTCATCCCTACCCCAGTCCTCGTGCATCCTCTGTCCCCAGATTCCCCCCTTCTCTTTTGTCATTCCTTGATGTATCCAGGATTTCCACAACCACTTCATCCGAGGTCAGAGGTATCAGCTCACGGTGCACTTCTGCACTGTGGATGTGCTCTGGGAAATCAAAGTCCACATTTATTCCTGACTCCTGTGCACAAAAGTATTCTTTACTTTCTCAAAATTGTCTGTTTCCTTTATGACTGGCCTGTGAGAGAGTTTCATGAATTAAACGTTTTCTGAATCTTTTTCTAACACCCAGCCTTAATGTTCCCTGACACATTTTCATGCCGTTCCCCCAGATCCTGTTGCCCAGGTCCCTTCTCCACCCTCCCACTGGAAATCCTGACAGACAACTCATCCTGGGGCTGCAAGAGCCAAGAGTGGGAAGAAAGACCCCTCCACACTTATTTTCACCCCCAACATGAGACACAGACACAGCAAACGCTGGTTTGGGGTGTTTTCAAGCATAATTATATATTATCAAAAGTAGAAAACCAAGCTAGATAAAAATTCCTGCAATGGCCTGGCAGCACTGCTGCCTTCTCTGTGATCCACACAGTGACAAGGGCTCTGGAAAAGCCACTGGAACTGCTCCTGCTTGCAGAGCACAGGCACAGCACAGGGGGCTGAGGTCCAGATGGAGGCAGGGAGCTTTCATCCCCTTGGAATGTGGCTTCACTCCATCCTCAGCACCAACTGGGTTTTCCATGCCCCAAGGGAACATCTGGCTGGGTCAGCCCTGAGCAGTGAATGCAACATGGAAGCTATTTTTAATAATTCATCACATGCCTCTGCCCTCCCTGCTGCCTTTCCTGCCCTGTGGCAGCAGCAGAGTCCTGCCCACAGCTGGGCAACAGCTGGAGAGCACAGCCAGATGTGCTCCAGCTGGCACTCAGGAGCTTGGTGGTGAATCCAGCTGATCACACCTCAATTAACATGTTCAGCCATGTCCTGGGCACAAATCCATGCCCAGCCAGCCTGGTGGGAAGCACTGGCTATTTCTGAGACCATGGTATTGATGGGTTTAGTTCCTAACACAAACAAACCCTGCCTGCACTGCGGGTTTTGTGGTGGCAGTAGAACAGATTTGAGATTTGGCCTAAGTTTAGGTGAAAGCATCCAGGCAGATGTGGATTATAACCTGGTAACCTGGTCTAGTGGAAGGTGTCCCTACATGTGGTAGGGGTTGCAACTGGATAAGACTTAAGGTCTCTTCAAACCCAAATAATTCTGGGGTCCTGTGATTTGCAGCTGGAAGGGGACAAGGAGGAGACTGGAGAGAAAAGACCACTTGAGGAGGCAAGACAGTGGGCAAGCAGCAGGACATGGCTTTTGGTTGTAATTCCAGGTTCTGGGGTTGTGGTCTGCAGCAGGAAGAGAATCTGCAATCCTACGTGACCCCAAAAATGGATTTGGTAAAGGCCTCAAGATAAACCTGATGGAGAAAAAACAATCAAGCAATGCTGAGCCTTACTTGAGGCCTTACTCTGCCCAGAAGGTAGGACATCTGAGAGCAAAACCCATAATTTTTCTGATTTAGGCACTTATTTGTCCTGAGAAAACTGCTTTGGCCAGCACTGCAGCCCCTGGAGACAGCAACCAGATCTCCACACTGGGACAGGCCAGCAGCTTGTGCAGGCACTGGCTTAGGGACACACCTCAAGTCATCGTCACAAATACACCAAAGGCAAAAGGCTCTGGCTGCCTGGCAGGTCTGTGACATAAATAAGCTCAATGAACAACCTCCCTGGACTTTTAGGACTTTTTAAGGCTTTTGAAGTTCTTCAAGGCTGCCACTAGAAGATGTACTGGGAGGGAAAGTGAAGTCCCAGTGATGGAAGTCCCATGGCAGGGGCACCGTGGGGACAGTCTTCATCCCACCACCTCCTGCCATGCTCTGTTGATGAGACAGTCACCCCAAGGCTGGCCCAAGGTGACAGTGCAGCCATTTACAGGGTCACTCTGGTAACCCAGACAGGTCTGTCCCCTCTCCCAGCTCCCCCAGTCCTCGCTGGGAGTATTTAGGGCCGGCCTTGGGGGTGGAGGTGAAGCACGGTGACCTCAGCTTGCTCCTCACCACAGTCCCCTGTGGGCCACAAGGGTAGGTGTCCCAAAGGTGATGGCACCCCACAAGGGCACCCTCTGTCCCTGTGGGCTCTGAGCCCTCTTTGGGGAGACCTGCCACCCCACAGCTGCCTGTGTTGCTGAAGGAAGAGCTTCTCTGCAGACGCTTGTGGGCAAAAGCGCCCAGGATTGGACTGATGCTGGCTGTCCCAAGGGATAAATCCCCTCCTCTTCCTCCTCCTCCTTCTCCCAGGTAGCCTGGGGGAGGCTGAGCTTTGCTGTCCCTTTGCACCAGGGCCATGCTTGTGGCTGTGGCTGTCCCTGTCCCAGGTGAGGCGATGCCTCCTGCACTTGCACTGAAATACACAGAGGAGCTCTCGGTTGAATCCGGGGAGAAGCCACTGGGATGGGATGTGGATGGGGGAAAATCAAGCTCCTGCCCTGCTCCCTCCTCCTGTGCCATTCCCAGAGCACCAGCGCTGGCTTTGATGCCTCCTCCATTCCCCACTGCCAGTCCAGAGGGATGGATGTCCCTCATGGGGAGGGAAGAGTTTGCCCCAGGCTCAGCACCAGGGGGTTTCCCCATCACCCATCCTCCAGGAAAAGCCTCTCCCACGCCACCATCCCCAAAAGCTGCGTTGATCACAGACACATCTCCCGTCTTCAAGGCCAGCTTCACCAGCAGCCAGTGGTGATGGTCTGTCCAGCTGTCCTCCAAACACCCTTTGGACTGCAGCAGTGATGAGCTGGTCTCATTTTTGGGCTCTGTCTTGGTCTCTTCCACTGGCAAGGACTCCTCATCTCCCAAAGTCCCTGAACCCTGCCCAGCTTGGGAGCTCTCTCCAGACACCTCCTCATCCCCAGCTGCTGCAGCACTGCACATTGTCTCCAGGAATCCCTGCCAGATCTCAGTGGACTTGGGATGGAGCAGGCTGTAGTAAATCACCAGAGCTGTGGTACCTGGAAAGGAGCAGAAAAGTGTCACTGAGGAGTCCCAGCAGCATTGTGGTCAGCTGTGGAGAGGAGACCAGACCCTGAGGCACCTCCAGATCAACAAGACCTTTGCAAAGATGCTGCTGAGAATCGGGTGTATGAGCAGCACATTTTCCCACCATTTATGGAGATGCTAGAATCCCACTTGAGCAGATTTTGGCAAAGGAAGTGCACACTCAACCCCAAATTTAATCTGGATTAATTTGCAGACTGAAAGTTGCCCAGCAGGGAGATGTGTGATGAAAGAAACCTTCCATGTCACAGCATCCCCATCCTCTGGCCTTTAAACCAGCAAGTTTTTAAGACAGCTTCCTCCTTATACCCTAAACTCATCCAAGACCACAGGAATTGCTCCTTTTCCATCCTATTTCTTTAACACAGTTGATCTGAGGGTCTGAAGAGTTGCACAACTTCCCTCTGCTCCCATCCCTCTGGGAAAATATGACCCTGCTTGGCACAGAGATACTCCTAGGGCTGGATCCCCTCTGCTCTGGAGCCAGGCTGGGACAGCTGGGGGTGTTCACCTGGAGAAGAGAAGACTCCAGGGAGAGCTCAGAACCCCTTCCAGAGCCTAAAGGGGCGCCAGGAGAGTTGGAAAGGGACTTGGCACAGGATACTGGAGCTCATTTCCTGAAACTACTCTCGAGATGTGCAATCCAGGCTCTAAAATCAATGTTCTTACCTATTAAAGACCCTGACATGACAGCCCCAGTCACAGTCAGGCTGTTCCTCAGCTCTGTCTGCAGGAACCGGGTGCCCAACAGCAGCAGGAGCGTGTTCTCCATCATCATTATCTGCAAGGCAGAGGGAAGAGACTCATCACTTATATCCTTCTGATGGCTTTAGATGCGCCTCTCATAACAGAAAACACCCATTTCCTAGATTTTCATCGATTCTTAGAATCACAGAATGGTTTGGGTTGGAAGGAACCTTAAAGCACATCTTATTGCACCCCCTGCCATGGGCAGGGACACCTTCCACTACCCCAGGTTGCTCCCAGCCCCATCCAACCTGGCCTTGAGCACTTCTGCTGTTATATTTTGCATCTAATTTACCACTTAAAACATAGAAGCTGTCGAACTGAACTTTCTGCAAGGTATTCACCTACTTTTTACCACTGACATTGTAAGGCTGCCTCTAAGGAATCAAAGGCAGTGCAGAAGGCACATGCACCTTGGAGAGCACATGGCTTTGTCAGGACACAGTAAAACGCTGGATTTTGAGCAAGTGGTGATGTGAGAGATGAAAATGGAGAGTCTGAAGCTGTCGCTCGTCCCCAGCAGCTTCATCCATGCAGAATACAAAACAATTCCAGGTACTCACTGCATAAAACACAGCCACCCTGGTCCTGGAGGGGCCGGGCCGGACATTGATGTAGCAGAAGATGTACACAGCTCCCAGCAGGCAGTTGAAGAGCCTCCAGCGGCACGGCTGGGCCACGATATCTGTCTGCTGGGCCCCCAGCCAGAAGGACATGAGCAGCCAGTGGACCCCTGCAGGGATTTGCAAAGCCATTCCTCGATGAGGCTGCAAACAGTCCCAGCAGCAGGAGCATCACAGGGCTGACATTGGGGTGGGATGTGGAGAACAGGATCTCAGGTCTTACCTGCCACAACGAAAACCCAGAAGGAATAGAGCCTGGCAAAGAGCACCAGGGCTAGGACCCGGGTCCCCAACATCCCTGTCCTCCAGAGCAGCAGGCACAGGATGACAGCAGCTGGTGGGCTCAGATGTCCAGGCTTCATCAGGAAGGTGAAGTGGCTGTAGGAGACCAAAGCCCAGGCCAGGGACAGCAGGGACAGCCCCGCGCTGACACCTGTGTGGGGACAGGAGCAGTCAGGGCTCTGATGGAGGCCCAAATGCACAGCAGGGCCAATTCTCTGTGTTAAGGAGGTGTTGGTAGCACGGCACCCCATACAAACCAGACACCCCTTGATCCTATAAAGTGAACCATGGAATCAAGGAATCACAGAAGGGACCTTAAAGGCCATCTAGTCCAGTTCCTTGCAATGAGCAGGAACCCCTTCTACCAGACCAGGTTTCTCAGAGCCCTGTCCTGTGGTTGTGACAGTTTGGTCAGAGAGAGAAATTCATAAACTTTCCCAGGAATTGTTCTGGGAACAATTTTGAGAAGGCTGAGAGAAAGAATTAAAACAATCTTGCAGCTGGTGTTTTGAACAGTTGTTTTCTCATAAGACGTTTACCAAAGGGTGTCTTTTTAATTAGTCAGTGGTGATTGGGTGTTGATTAAATGACCAATCCAGTCCACCTGTATCAGAACATTGTATAAAAAGGAATGGGTTTTCAATAAACTCGGGATTAGACTGCTGAAGAGAATAACAGTTTATGTGTCACTTCACTTTGTTCCTGACTCAACAGTGACACTGTCCAACCTGACTTGAATGTTACCCCGGATGAAATGAGCATTTCAACTAAATCCTGCTAAATCTAGTCTCTGCGTGCTCAGCATCTCCCTGTGGATACCCTCTCCATGGACAGATCTAGATCTCTGAAGCCTCAGGGCAGCTCCAGCCCAGCCACTGCCGTCGGACCAGATGGACAATGAGAGAGTGTGACCTTGCACATGCCATGACTCCACACTGCAACCTCCCTCTTTGCACACCTGAAAGTTCACCTTTGGGGCAAAGCAGCCACCCTTGCATTCAGCCACAGCAGATCTTTCAGCTACGCTTGTCCCTGATGCTTCCCATCAAGGCTTCCCAGTCTCTTTGCGTCTGGAGGGCACACACATCCCTCACCCAAACACACCACCCCTGAACCATCCTCCTGGGAACTCACCAGGGATGAAGCCTGCTGGGTCCACGGCCACCACAACATAGGCCTGGAGCAGAAGGTGAGGCAGGGTCTGCAGCAGGGCCTCCAGGAGCCGCAGCACACAAACATCCCCGAGCTGAGCCAGCAGCTCCCCGGCACCACCGCCCGTCTTCGCCGCCGCCCGCAGAACATCCCAGTACCTGCAAGAGCCACCGTGACGGGATGCCCACCCTGGCTGGAAGAAAATTTGGGGCTGCACCCGGCTTGTGGGGGGTGGGTGGATGGTGGGGAGTGTCTCTCACCGCTTCCAGAGGCCCAGATGCAGGAGGTGGAGCGCCAGGAGGCAGCAGCCGGGTGTGTGTCCGTCTGCCCGGAACCAAAGGATGCTGAGGAGCTGGGCGGCGTAGCCGGGCACCAGGCAGGCGATGGTCAGCCCGAACCAGCCCAGCTGCCCACGGACAAGGTAGTGGATGATGGCACAGAGCCCTGGAGAAGGGCAGAGAGGCGCTGCTGAGGGATGACACAGCCACACCCCCCCAGCAACTGAGTGGTGCCATTCATAGCCAGAGAATCCCAGAATGATTTGGGGGGGGAGGGGAAGGAATCTTAAAGCTCCTTTCATTCCCCCCCCTGCCATGGGCAGGGACACCTTCCACTATCCCAGAGTGCTCCAAGCCCTGTCCAGCCTGGCCTTGGACACTTCCAGGGATCCAGGGGCAGCCACAGCTTCTCTGGGCAGCCTGTGCCAGGGCCTCCCCACCCTCACAGGGAAGAATTTCCTCCTAATATCCAATGTAAACCTGCTCTCTGTCAGTTTAAAGCCATTCTCGCCAGAACTCCATCTCCCAGCCCGTCCAGGGTGCTCGCAGCCCTTCTCCTGGGCTTATCTCCAGCTGCCGGCTCCCGGTGGCTTTGTCAGCTGAGGCACAGCCACCGCCACCGAGGGGCCCGGCCCCCAGGAAGGCTCTGATAAAAAGCTCGGGCTCCGAAATAAACAAATAAATAAATAAGCGGGAGAAAAAAAATAAAAAAGCGCCATTTTTTAAATATGAAAAAGAAGCCAAGAGGACGGCCGGGCCCGCGGGGATGCCGGGAGCAGAACCGCGCATCTCCCCAAGCGCGGGGCGCAGGGATGACCCCCATTCCCCGCTACACGGAGGTGATTCGGGACCCCCGGGATGGCCGCAAAGGCCACTGCCAGCATCCCATCCGCCTTCCCCCTCCCCTCCGCCGGAGCGCAGCCCCGCACGCCCCCGCGCATCCTGCGCGCATCCTGCGCGCTCACTCACGGGCGCCGCTCTCCGCCGCCAGCAGCGTCAGGCTGAGCCTGGGAACGGCCCCGCGCATCCTGGGAGCAGGACGGGGAGGAGGAGGTGGGAGGAAAGGGAGGAGAAGGAGGAGGAGGAGGAGGAGGAGGAGGAGGAGGAGGAAGAAGAAGAAGGAGCCGCCGGGGCCGGTCCCGCTCCTCCCGCCCCTCACCGGGCACCTCCCCCAGTGTCCCCTCCCCGGGCAGTGCGACATCACGGTACTTGCGCCACCCCCGGGGGCTTGGGGACACAGAGACCGAGCTTGCCTTCACCATCCCGAGACCCCTGGAGCTGCTATGCACTGCCACAAACCCATCCCGTACCCCCCCAAATTGTTGTGCACCGGCACAAGCCCCCGCCCCGATGTCCCCTGGTTCTTGTGCGGTGGCACAAGCCCACCCCGATGTCCCCTGGGTTCTTCAGCACTGGCTCAAGCCCATCCCATTGCTCCCTGTGCTGTTGTTCACTGGCACAAGCCCACCCTGCTGTGCCCCAAATTTCTGTGCACCGGGGCACGCCCATCCCGATGTCCCCCGTGCGACGCCCGCGATGTCCCCGTGTCGCGGGGATGAGCACTAGGTGGCAGCTGGGACATGGTGTGCACAGAGCCATAAATTAATCCCGCTGTTTTCCCGCCCTACCACAGAGATGAAACCGCTGTGAAATGGGATCCCAAGCATCGGAGGTTGCAGGAGCCCTCTTGTGTGCATTTGCTTTTTATCCCAATTTCCAGCCCTGCAGCCTCCAGCGCTGATCTTTTTAGAAAATAAATTCCCAGCAGGTTGCTACAGGAAAATTCACGAAGGGGAGTTTAATTAAGGCAAAATATCACCTCTGGTTTTGGTGGTTTTTGCAATATGCTGCAGGAAGCTCCCAAAACTGTACATCAGCTGGGCTTTGGATGTACCTGTGTACCAGGACTTTCATACATTTATTGCTGTTTTTTTTAATTTTATTGAGATTTTTTGCAACTCTGGCAATAAAGCCCAGGCTCTGCTGTGTAACAGTAGCCACCAAACTGCTCAGAAATGTCCTTGCCTGGTTTCCCTACTCGTGGGAGCATCCCCAGGCACTCTGTGGGTTTCCAGTGCTGCTTTTTACCAGGAACTTGGCATCTTTGCAGCTCAAATCCATCTGATTGGGTTTGGGGGCCCTTTGGGTGTAAAGGACAACTCACTTTTCCTCCTGTTCCACTGCCCTGCCCATATTTGTGTTTCATTAATTAATGATGTTGGGCTGCTGGGCATTTTAACAAAGTCAGGGGTGTAATTAGGGCTCTGGAGCCAAGTGAAGCTCAGCCTTGGCTGTCTCTGTCCTCCACAGCAGCAAATACCACATGGCCCATTCCTAGAAAACCCAATTTTTAGCATACAAAGCACAACTCAGCCTCTAATGGGCACCAAAGCCTCTTCCAGACCTGAGAGTGGGATGGGGAAGAACCATTTTTGCAAATTCAGCAGTGTGGACGCTGCCAGGGTCCATGCAGGCACAATGTGACCCTTCTTGTGACCCACAGAAGACATGTGAACCTCGTCACCTCATCCCCCCTGCCCTCCACTACCACCATTCCCACCCTGAGGAGTCTCAGCTGTCTCTCCTCAGTCTCTCCTCCTGTGTTCCAAGCCAGGAATAAATCCTGTGCCATCAGCACCCCGGAGCTTTGCCAGGCAGAGAAGGAGGAAGCCAGAAGGCCTTCCAGAAGATATTCCCAGAGCTAGCCACCCTCCCCACTTTCTCTGCCAGCTCCCAGTTGCTCTGGCTGCCTCCCAGCCACCGGTTTGGCTGCACTTTTCTCTGCTGGATTTCAGCACCCAGGAGCCTCTTTTGCTAAAAAAAACCTCCTTAGGTCTTCAAGAAAGCTATATCCTGGAGAAGAGAAGGATCTAGGGCAACTTCAGAGCCTCTTCCAGGGCCTAAAGGGAGAGCTGGAGAAGGATTTGGGACAAGGCATGGAGGGACAGGACACAGGGAATGGCTTCCCACTGCCAGAGGGCAGGGATAGATGGGAATTTTGGAAGGAATTGTTCCCTGTGAGGGTGGGGGGTGCCCAGAGAAGCTGTGGCTGCCCCTGAATCCCTGGAAGTGTCCAAGGCCAGGCTGGAGGAATCTGATCTGGTGGAAGCTTTCCCAGCCCTTGGAGCATCCAGCCCTTGGAGCATCTCCATGGCTTCCTCTGGACTCTCTCCAGCAGCTCCAAGTCCTTCTTGTGTTGGGGATCCCAAGATCTGGGCTCGGTGCTCCAGGTGAGCTGCCCACAGGTGGCATCACACAGACCCAGCTGTTCCTCATGTGCTGAGCCATTTTTCAGCTCAGATATTTGGCTGCAAACACCTCACAACACCTCAGGGAAGGGTTTCAGCAACAGCCCTGCCCTAAAGGATTTGGGGACCAGGGCACATCTTCTGCAGGTCCTTCCCTTGCCTGAGGTGATGCAGCAGAGCAGATCTGACAGGTGATTGTGGATGATGCCAGGAGATGCAGACATTAGGTTTTTCCTCTGTAAAATGTACTTTTTTCTTGCTGTACAGTGGTGATTCTTAGAACAGCTGGTCCTGGCATCCACAAGAACATTTGCCTTCCTGGATTGGGTGCAAAGGACCCAATTCCAAAGCTGTTTGTGGGAGCTGCTCTGTAAAAGTGACCACAACACAATTATGTGTAACCGCGTTGTGGGACCAAGTATTCGACACGCGAGTATTTGACCTCAAAAAAAAGCAAAAATGAGGAAAGAAAAGCACGCAAAAGAGCAACCCAGAGAAACAAGAAGCCTGCAGGCAGCCTGAAAGCTGCTGAAAAGGCTGTGCTGGAAGCCTCAGTGAAATAGTTGCTTTGATTGGGAAAGAAAACAAAGAGATCTAAGAAAAATCCCTGCAGGGCACGAAGGGCGAGCCCAGGGAGGCTCTCGCAGGGATGAGCTCAGCCGTGCTCCAGCTGCTGCCGGAGGAGAAGGGCAACTCCCACGGAATGGGGCTGGCCGGATTCAAGTAGGAAAGAGGGATAAAAGAGAAGTGAAGATCCCTTTGCAACAGGCACCTGAATTTATAGAAATGTCTGCAAAAAGCAGGAAGCCATTGGAGGAATCCTTGATGAGAAAGGAGGAGGCTGTGCCCAGAGAACTCTTCTGTCTATGGCAAGAGAATAAAGATAATAATAAACCTAAAATTGCTGGGCATGGGCTGTAATAATGTCCATAAATAGTTATGGCATAAAATATCTTATGTGCCATGCAGGTAACCTAGTAATGAAAATGTTTTGGTGCAAAAATTTGAAAAAAACCCAAACCACTTTTTTATTCTTAACTCTTAGATTTCTCGTTTCCTCTCTTATTTTTTCACTGCCACTCCCTAGTGCAGATCTTTTCCGTGTTCTTAATTGTCCAGATTTTCCCTTCCAACAGCAGTCATGATGTAAAATTAATGACAGCCCATTAACCCTCTTCCTGAATTCCAAAGAACTAACTTCACATTTAACATAGGTTTGGTGGGTTTTATTTTAACATTCCAGCTGATGATTGTTTTACTTCTACGATGATATATTGTTTGTGCTTGTAAAGGAAATATAAAACCTCTGAAAACAGATGGAAACAGAGACCTTGAGTGAGCTGCTGTGGCCAAAGGGTTGCTCAAAGGGAGGAGCCCAGGGTGGTTTTTCTCATCTCAACACATTTCCCGAGGTGATGCCGCAATGCTTTGAAAGCCAGACCTTGGTTCCTCTTAGGACAACAGCAAAGAGGATTCATTGGGTGTCCCCAGAGCTCCCCAAAGCCTCATTGGCCACCAGAAGGCTGTGGAGGTAAAACATCCCTCACCACCCTCCAGAAACAGCACAAACCCACCCAGCTCTGCTCTGTCATCTTCATCCGGGTGGCTGACACTGATCCTGGGACTGTTCCAGCCTAGAACCCCTCCTACCTGGTAACAGCCAAAATATTCTCATTATTCAGCCTCTCTCAAAAGGTTTTCTCCTTCTTAAATGGGTGGAGACTTCATGTCTTTCATGTTTATCTGTATTTTGTTTTATAGCCTTAACTGTGCAGTGGCTCCAGTCTGTCATGAGGCAGTTCTAGAGGTGTCAAATGTTGATAAGGGAGAGGAGTTTTTGTTGGCTGCAGGAAATGCAAATACTCAAAAATTTATCCTGGAAATAATGCAATTCTTGAGGGGAAGAATAACAACAGCCTCCAAGAAAGAATAAGGAGGAGCTGGCTTTTGGGTTAATTGGGAAGAAAATTGCTTTTTCAGCTCTTTTTTTTAAAGTAGAAAAGCTTGAGAAAAACCCATGAGGTTGTTTTGTACAAATCTAGCAAAAATTGTCTTATTTTCTGAATTAACAGCTTTACCTTCCATAAGGCAAATCAAATTTATTGCAATGCACTGCAAGTTATTGAGAAATCCAGGATAAATTGCTGGTCACTTAAAGCATTAATTAAAAGGGGATTTAAAATTAAATTTTTCGCATGGAAGTTTTTTCCTGTGCCATGATCCTATGTGTCCTCCAGGAAAATCTTAGGACAATAGACACAATCATGACAAAAATGTGTAATAACTTCCTTTAGGTAACTTCCAGGTCTTGAAGAACATTTCTCTGTGTCACTTCTGGGACTATGGAGGGACAAGGCTCTAACCAATGTCCTGGTCTCCTTTCTCTGCAGTGACCCAGGATCCCAGCCCACCCTCTGCCATGAAAATCCTTCCTTTTCTCCTTGTTCTCCTCTTGGTGGCATTTCACGGAGCTGCAGGTAAGGTGAGGGACTAAAGAGAAGATGCTGATGTCTTGCAAAGCTCTCCTGTCCCCTTTGGGATGTGACCAAGCTGCCTCCTGCAAAGAATCCTCACATAAATCATCAAAACTCATTAGAGATTACGGATGAGAAATTAAATTAGCAGGCAAATACTCCAAGCATCACTTTGAAAGGGGCAACCTCAAAATTACTATTCAGCACCAGTGTTTTCCCCTTTAAACCCTGCAGGCTTGTACTTAAATCACTTTGCCTCTGAGTCACCGAGCAAACAAATTAAATCATGATCAAATATTCTTAAACCACACAGAAAAAAAGAAAAAGTAATCTGGCCCCACGTTCTTCAAATATCCTTTGCTTTAGGAGCTGGGACATATAAAGTGAGAGGCACAAAATCATGATGCCTGTTTGGGGGTGCAAAGAGTCTGGAACCCCAAAGCAACTCTATTGTCCAGAAAAAGGGATTTTATTTTAATATCAGCTCTGAAAATGGCACAGCTAAATTTGCAGGGTGCTCTGTGCACAAACAGGGGCTGGTGGAGTTTTGATCTCTGTGGGAACAGGATGGAAAGTGTCCTCTAGGGAAGTTAGGATGGGAAAAGTCTGTGATGAACTGCAGCAGACCAGAAATGTGGGAAAAGTGTCATATATATATTCCTGGAGGGATTTAAAAGCCATCTGAATGTGGCCCCTGAGGACATGGATTAGTGGTGGGCTTGGCAATGCTGGGTTAACAGTTGGACTTGATGATCTTAAAGGTCTTTTCCAACATAAAGGAGTCTGATTTTATGATTTTATGTGGTTGTCTGGTGTTATTCTTACCTGGGCCTCTGCCTGTGCCAGTTCCCAGAGGCAGGACACTGGGAAAAGAATTCTTTTGGTCTGTTTTATGTCCTTATTTAACACATAGGGGATGTTTAGCCTGTTTTCAGTAGGGCCTTCTGGGTATATTAAAGCCAGAAATTTATCTGTATCTTGGAAGAAAAGTGCCCCTGAGAGCTCAGACTGCTCACAATGCCTCACAGACCACTAGTTTGAGACCAGGAATGTTTTATTCACCCTTTAAACCACTCCTTTATTACTCCCTGGGATTTTCTGGTTGTGCATGTATGACTCTACTCACATGCTGGGAATCCAGTCCACCAGGGATGTGCTGGATGCATGGTCCATATTTAATATCCATTCCCTGTTTGCTGGAACAAGCTATCCTCTCTCTGAATACTTTGCAATGTTCCATGGATGAGCTGGAAACTGGAATTAATTGGTTCATGTGCACCCAGTCAGGTGCATCCAGAACACTTCAGCTGCCAGGCTGCATCTTTATTAATCGACCAAACAGGGCCAGGTAAACTCCTGCCTAATTGCTGGTTTGCTCCCTGGGGTTGTTTTGATCCCTGACAATTAGCACCTTCATGGATAAAACCTGTTCTGGGATTATCACAGGCTGGTGGCCGTTCCCAAAAGGCAGTTTGAATGTGGGTATCCTATTTTGGCAGGGAAGAAGGAATTAGAGTGTTTGCTTGGTCGTTGTGCCCACAGACCTCCTCCTCTGAAGACTGAACTTGTCAGCTCACAGGGATTAAGCAAAATGCAAATCCCTGCCAGAAATAAAATGTCTCCCATCTTTTGTTAATTTATTGGTTTATTTCTTCTTTTTTAAGGTAGAAGCTTGGCAAGGCCCAGGAGACCTTACATGGAGTGTGGGTATCGTGGGACCTTCTGCCACAGGGGGAAATGCCCTCGTGGCAACAATTACCTGGGGTCGTGTCGTTCTGGGTACAGTTGCTGTAGGTGGTAAGTTTAGGACTTGTCTGGGGCAAAGATGACTTCCCAAATTATCATTTGAACCCCAAGCAGCACGATTTTCCTCATCATCATAATTCTGAAGATCCTTTCCTTCGTGTAGGTTGTAGTGTGGCTAATTGTGGAGAATCTCCAGGAGTGATCGCTTTTGACATCGTTGGATTCAAGGAATTGTTGCAGCAGCAACCAAGGATTTGTCATTCTCCTTTCAATAAAAGCAAGATGTGGGGAGGTTGCATGGCTGCCCTGTGTGGTATTGTCAATCATTTCCAAAAGTAATTAATTTCCCATTCACTTCCCATGTCTTATTTCCATTAAGAATTTTAAACAAGAATTGTGAAATTAATCTGGACCTGCCAGGAATGTGTAGTTCACCAAAATATTTACCCCTCTTGGGCTGCTGATTGAGTGAGTGCTGGCAAGTTCTCCACACATGCCTGCTAGGCAATTCTCTGTCATGGCTGAGATCAGTCACCATTTCCACTGGGAGCACAAAAGTTGTCTCCAGTGTGACACTTCACAGCACCTCTGCTCTGACAGCTTTGGGTTCCCACCTCCTGGTCCAGAGCTTTCAGACCTGGGAACAGCATATTGTTTTATTATGGGAACTAAAGTCACACTGAGCAGAACAAATTGGTAATCTGAAGTTTCTGTCTGCTATAAATTTGGAGTGAATCTGCAAAATTTATATCGGCTGCAGTTGCAAATGAAGAGATCAGAGTTAGACCTGTGACATTGCTTGAGGCAATTATAGAAACATGTGCAAGAGGCCAAACCCACTGTGCCTCTGATCACTTCTCTTCCAAGAGATTCAGCCTGAACTGCCCTGGACCACAAAAGAAAACTTAGAAGGTGCAGGTTGCTCAGAGAGCTCCTGTCTCTGCATGGTCAGGAGCATCCTTGTGCTGACAAGGAATCCTTCATGCCCAGAGGAGCTGTGGCTGCACCATCCCTGGAAGTGTCCAAGGCCAGGGATGGGACTTGGAGCAATCTGGGATAGTGGAAGGTGTCCCATGGCAGGGGGTGGAATGAGATGACCTTCCAATCCAAACCATTCTGTGAAGGGAGGAGCAGTAGTGGCTGAGTTTTTAAGGGAAGCAACCAAACCAAGTGCAAAGGACTGACTGGAAGCCCTGAGCTGCCCATTTGTTGCAAAGCATTTGCCCACCCTTACAGAACCACAGAATTTTTAGAGTTGGAAGGCACCTCTGGAGATCATCCAGTCCAACACCCCTGCCAAGGCAGGGTCACCTGGAGCATGTGACACAGGAACACATCCAGTTGGGTTTGGAATGTCTCCAAAGAAGAAACTCCATGCCCTCCCTGGGCAGCTGTTCAGTGCTCTGACACCCTCAACATAAAGAAGTTCCTCCTCAAGTAGAGATGGAATTTCTTATATTTCAGTTTATGGCCATTGCTCCTCATCCTGTGGCTGGGCATCACTGAAGAGAGTCAGTCACCATCCTCTGACACCCCTTACAGATATTTTTATGGACTGTTGAGATCCCCTCTCAGTATTCTCCAGACTGAACAGGTCCAGCTCCCTCACTCTCTGGCCTGTTCAAAGCAGATGTTTCTGCAAATGACTGTGCCACCATTGAAACCACAGTCTTGTGCAGGGCAGGAAGCTGGGCCAACAGCCTCCTCCAAGGGATCTCCCTGGATGGAAACCTAAGGAAGTTGCCAAGTGGAGCCAAACCAGCAATTTACAGTTGATGTCCTAAGAGATTTTTGCACAATCCATGCTAGGTGAATGTTTCACAAACTGGAATGGCACAAGATTTTTGCTCAAGGACCAGGGACTTTGCAAGGAGGGTTCAGCCCCTGTAATTTTAGATTCATCTGCCTGTAGCCAGCATCATGCAGAATCCAGTCCCATCATGCTTTTATCTCATCATCACCACAAAGAGCTCTCTTTGACTTTATGGCTGGGGAAGGGCTTCAAGAGCCAGTTTAGGGTGAAACAGGCTGAAATCCCCTAGGATCCATACTGCACATCTCCCTGTTTCTTATCCCAATCCCATCTCCCCAGCACTCCACACATTCAAACTCATAGATCAGAGAATCATAAATTGGTTTGGGTTGGAAGGGACCTTAAAATCACATAGATCCAACCCCCGCACCATGATCAGGAACACTTTCCACTATCCCAGATTGCTCCAAGCCCTGTCCAGCCTGGCCTTGGACACTTCCAGGGATTAAGCTGATGCGTGTGCTAAAGAGCAACAGCACAGGGATGCAGCTAAGTGCCCCTTTAATGAAGCTCTGTAAGGAAACTGACTACTGGACATAGCTGCTCCCACTCCCTTGCCTCCTGGGGTTTTGATGCCAAGACAGCTCAGCAGATATTAAAAAAGAATTTGGGCTTTTCTCTTTTTCTGGCTGCAGCTGTAGGATCAGGATTTCCTTCAGTGGTGAAAGAAATAAAAAGCTGTCCTGAGTGCTCTGACTACCATGGCAGAGTAGTAGTGAGCCCCCTGGGTACAGATCTGCAAACAGTTTGTACAAAGTCCCTCACAGGTGAGTGACAAAACAATTAAATATGTCGAGTTGTTTGGATCAAAGGCATATTCATGTATTGCCCAGAGGAGCTGTGGCAGCCCCACCCCTGGAAGTGTTCAAAGACAGGTTGGATGGGGCTTGGAGTACCTACTGGAAGGTGTCCCTGTCCATGGCAGCTGGCTGGAAACTCCTGGTCCCTTCCAAACCAAATCACTGTGTGATCCCACGATTCATGTGACTGCTCAGTGAACACACACCAGGCACGAGTGTGTTTTTAACATCCATCCTCACACACGTAACGCCTGATGAAACTGCAGCAAAGCGGAAAACATTCATGAAGATGCTCTATCAAACAACAAAGGGTTACACACAGCAAACTCCACTAAACAAAGCCACAGTTAAAGCTTGTCCTTCCTAGAGCTGTGGTTGGATGGGGATGTCATCCCAAGTGGCGTCTTCCCAGTTATTTTCAAGTGAAGCATAGAGAGAATGCGCTTCCCGCGGGGGGAGGAGGACAGAGCTCCTTTGTGTGGTGAAAGCTGAGTGTTTGCCAGGGCCTAACGAACAGGGATGCTGTGTGTGTGTCCCCAGAGGTGTCCAGCAAACCACAGCACCGAGCAGCCCTTACGCAAGGCAGGATGACACAAGACCCTGGGCTCGGCTAGAGGCCTGGGAATCCTTCTCAGGTGTCAGATGAGGAAAGCTCTGCTTGTTTTTCTCTGTCGGGGGAAGGAGCAGAAAAAGGAGCTTTGGGGCTGGACATTTGGAGGATTCAGCCATCCCAAGGGATACTTTGGCAAGTGGAGAGACCAAACTGCTGCTGCTGGTGCCAGGAAGCTCCGACTCCCGGGCTGCCGAGTGCATCCTCCCACCAGTGACTGGTCACATCCCCTCTCCTCCGTTCTGTCCCCGCGCAGGTGCTGCACGACCTGCAGGAAAGGATCCTCCCACTCACCTCTGCCTCCTTTCTCTTCTCCCCAGAGCTGCGATTCTGCTGGCGACTCCCAGGCATGCGGATCCTGCCTGTCCTCTGTGCTCTGCTCCTCCTGATGCTCCAGGGGGTGACAGGTAAGAAATGTGGAGGGTTTGTCCTCGGTGTTTTTTTAGGGAGGATTTGTCGCCTGAGCTGATGTTCGTGTGCGTGTGATGACGTGTGAGTTCTCCTGGTGGCCGTGCCATTCCCACCGGGGTCCCTCTGACCCCACACCTTCAAGGAAAGACTCCAGCTGCAGGTTGTGCTGTTGGGACCAGAGCTGGGGCATTGTATTAAAGCTCTCATCCTTCCAAATGTGGGATTTGATCCCTCTCCGTGCCTCCTGACCCTTGCATTTCTGAGTCAGCCGCACTGGGCACAGCAGCCCTGCTGGAGACGAGGAGGAGGAGCGTGGAGGAAGGGAAATCCTGCTTCTACCCTGCGCGTTCTCCCTTGCTCCAGGAAGGACGCAGCAGGCACGATGGAGACCTCTCCTAGAGCCTGCTTAGGGGTGTAGTGACTTTCTCCCATCCAAGTGCCACAAACTGACCTGGATTTCTGCTGCAGGCACCTGCTCAGCAGTTGTGGCAGAGGACAAGCAGGGCTGGGCTAACGCTGGCCGTGCAGGGACCAGGGGCTGTGCTCAGCATGTCGGCTGAAAGTCTCCTCTCTCCGTGCCCTGCAGGGCTGTCCCCGGTTCGAGCATCAGCCCAGGACTGCGAGCGCCGCGGGGGATTCTGCTCCCACCGCTCCTGCCCGCCGGGGATCGGCCGCATCGGCCTCTGCTCCGAGCAGGAATTCTGCTGTCGGATGTGAGTTCAGGGCTGCCCGGAGGGCGCAGGTTGCTGCTGCTGTTGGGGTTCGGGGTGAGGCTGCTGGGGAAAAAGCGGGGATTATGTAGCCCAAGGGTACAGGGACACTGCTGACCCTCACTGCTGCCCTGGCTGGGACAGGCACTGCCAGACCTTTCCTCCCGCAGGCGCTGGTATCCCTGATCCTGGATCCCCGAGCGGGACACCAGCCCGTGCCCTCGCTGCGTGGTCGGGACGATGCTGCCCGGAGGCACCAAGCACTGCCGGGGGCAGCAGCAACCCCGCACAGCCAGACCTGGATCTCATGGGAATCCCATCCCCCAGTGTCCCCAATACAAGGTGGTGGTCATTCTCACTGCCAAGATGTGTATCCGGGGTGTGCATCTCTTTCTTCTGCACATAGGGAAGGGTAGAGAGGATGGGGTGAATTCCTGACAGTCGTGGACACACAAACACTGTCCCACCATCCACCCTCTCTCCATGCTGGCCTCAGCCACACCAGCATCTCCACCCGTGGTGGGAGGGGGGACACATGTGACATTCACAGGGACTCCAGTGCCAGCCTTTTGGCTCAGCAAGGGGACCCCAGCACCTCTCACGCAGGGATGGAGGGGGTGGCTGTGACCACCCTAATTTCAGTGGGGACCTGCTGGTTGTCCACTGTCTCCCAGGCTGGGTCAGGAGTCCTTGTGAGGCTGTTCCATGGGA